AAAGTTTCTGATAATATACTTAATCAAATTACTTTAAATAATTATAATAAATAATAAATTATATATAAAAAATTATGCATAATTCTAATTAACATTAGGTATTGCATTAGCCAATCAAATTTATTTTAAGTCATGTGATTTTGTATTATGTCAGCAAAAAAATTGAGAAAATTTTTTTATTTGCTTAATGTATTTATTTTTTTAAAAGCTATTTAATTTTAAAATTTTATAAAATTCTGACCATTAGATCACAAGATATAAGGGGTACCTATTATAGAGGTACCGCACTGTAAATCTGTAATACTCCATTTAATAAATAAAGTTATATCCAGAATATTATATTATAAATAAGTATTTATACTCTGGGTATTTTACAAATTTTAAGATTTTAAATTGAAAATTTCTATGTAAAGTATCTGGGTACTTTAAAATTCTGATAATTTTTTTTAAAGGAGTACTGTGTATAGAAGAGGGTACTGTAGCCCGCGATATACAGTAGTTCTAGCGTTTTTTTTGATTTTACATGTAAAAACTTAAAGAAACGTTTTCGCAACTTCTTTAATAAATAATAAAAAAAAAAGTTGTAAAACGTTTCGTTTATGCATGCATTATTATATAAAAATGTTTTGCAACATTTTTTGTATAATAGCTTATTTGGCTCATGAGCCAGCTCGAGCTTTTTGAGCTAAGTCTGTTACAACCAGGGCCGATGATTTTTTGCGGCGCTAAAAGGTAAATTTTGTGTGTGATAAAAAATTTTTTTGTGATTTGCGGTGATACTAAATTTTTATAAATTATGTGTAATTTTGTGGCGCATTTTAATAAAATATGTGAATTTATGTGTAAAAAAAAATTTATTTCATTTATTTCTTTATCTATTTGTAATTGATCAATTAAAATACAACATATTAAGTTGTTTTAATGACTCTTCAGATAAACTTTGACGATTAGAATCTAAAAGTGTATTATATAAAGAAAAACTAAGTTCCACTGCACAGCTTGAAATTGGTAACCAAATATAGTCTAATGCAATGCTAGAAAGAATTGGCAAACGAACTGATAAACTTTTCCAATAATCACCTAAATTAGTTTCATCCAAATTTTCATTAAATTCCAACCCACAATATACTGCCCATTCACATAATAGACCGTTAGAAGGATTATCAAGTTCCATAATTGCTGAATAATGACGAATATCCTTTCTTTGAATATTTCCTAAATGAATATATTGTGGGTTAAAAACCTGACATGCATTAAAAAGTGAGCATGCAGGATGATTAGGAATGTGAGCTGAAAATTTGTCATGTGCTACTTGAAAAGCTTGACGAAATATTGGGTAAAAATCATCAGGGTTAAATAAATGTTGTTGAATTATGTTTTCAATTTCAGAACCAAAATAAGGTGCAGTAATATTTGATTCAATAAATGCTGTAAGTTGCTGTAATCGGCCTTCAACAAAAGGAAAAACTGGTTTGTTTTGTTGTTGAAAAAAATCCAAATCCAGTACAAACTCTTTGGCAAAAATTGAAATAAAGTAAATATAAATTGTAATGATGCCAGTATCTCGTAAATTTTGTAATGTTGTGTAAATAGTTTTTACTGTTTCATTTCGTGATTCTTCTTCATATTCGCGTCTAAAAAAATCAGCCCAATACTGGATGTGATTTTTTGCATAAAAAACCATTCGAAACCAACTATTCCACCACGTTTGATTTGGAAGTGAAATTTTGCGAGGAGAATTAATGCCATTCATTTTAAGATGAGTTATATAACGGTTCCTTTGTGCAGGTGATTTGACAAATGATTCCTTGATTTTAGCTAAAAAAGTCTTTAATGGTAAAAATTGTGAGAAATCTCTCCAGGTTTCTCTAATTACATTAAAAATATTCATTATAAAGTTCGCTAATATGTAACTCATTTTTAATTAAAAAAATTATGCAATTCCTTACCCAATGAGATTTAAAATATGTGCTGGGCATGGCACATGAATTAATTGAGGCATAACTGGCTTTAAAACTTTGCGATAACATTTTTTCATATACGCGGCTGAATCAGATAAAAATAAACGTGGAATATTAAGAGATATATTGTAAGAATGTAAAATGGGTAGAAGTGTTTGTCCAATAGTTGTGTTGTTAACCCATTGTAAAAAATTAACAGAAATTAGTTTTGTATCTTGTCGATAAGCAAAAAGTGTATTAACAACACTACGTGCACAATCATCACTAAGCTCATCCATTATAATACAAACAGGTTTTGAATTAAAAATTGAAAGGAGAGTTTTTGTATGATTTTCAAAAACAGAAGGCAAATACAATTGACGTAATGTTGGAGCTTGAGGAATTGCTCCTCCTTCTTTAAGATATTTTTTAAAAAAAGGGAGGAGATAATTAATTTTTTCTAGTGGAATATTTGCATTTGCAAATGCTTGAATTAAACTTTCTACAACTTCTCTTTTGGATTCAGCTGCAAGTAAAGTTGTTTCTAAACTTTGCTGATTTTTTTTGTTTTTATTAGCTTCATAGATTTTTTTTTGCGCTAGGTGCTTTTTTCCTAAACAATGAGAATCTACTGTTGACTTATGTCTCCATTCCACAGAAAGGTCGCAATAATTACAAAACAAAAGACTATTTTCAACACAAAAAACATCTGGATGTTCTTTAATTCTTGTATAAATTGTTACAGCATTAGCTTTATTAGTTTTAGTGTGTTTTCTAAATGACATTTTTAAAGTGAAAAAGAGATTTTGATTATCGAAAAATATTTTTTTGTGATTTTATATATAACCCCTGAGAATTTTGTGATATTATGCGGTGATCAGGAGTAATAAATGTGTTTATCACATAATTTTGTGAGTTATGTGAATTTCTGTGAAATGCCGAATATCATCGGCCCTGCCTTGAGCTTCTTGATTTTCTTGAGTTGCACAAGTATAAACT